TGCCTAGGGCTCTGTGCTGGCATATGCATATATTTAGGAAGATCTAGTGGTTTGAGCTTGTGTTTGGCCTCTCTCCAGATACAAGTAGAAATTCTTGAGAAGATCATTGCATGGGATTGTTGCAGGGAACGTAATTTCTGTGTTTACCTCTCCCCTCATGGACAAACTTTGCAGTTTCTCACTCCCTTGAAGTACTTGTCTTTCCCATTGTAGGATCTGCCAGGTTTTTGCCAAGGGGAGGAGTTTTCTTTTTCACCTGCAGGGCTGCTGACTCTTCAGTTCCTTCATTGATGACAGATGCAGAGCTCATTCTCTTTGTTCCCACACCCATGCCAGCTTTTTCCTCCATAGTGTGTTTTACTGCCAACTGTCCTTTCTTTTACTCAAATGCCCTCCTGCAGGCTGCTGTCCTTTTGGGGAAAACGCCCTGCTCTTCCTTGTACATATTCCCTCTGAAATCTCTTAATCACTTGGCCATTGAGTTTACCGTGGTACCTCATACTACTCAGGTGTTTTATTCAGTGAAAATGCCCTGAAARTTCTYCTTTGAACGTGTGTTCTACCATTYCTGTACATATTGAAACCAGAATRRTRTTTTCTCACCCCAGAAAYGGAGMTGAGTGAACAGTGCAGACTCCCAGGCAGTGCCTCCACAGTGAGGATGGCGCAATGCCCACGGTGCTGAGATGCCTTTATTGTGTTGTGAGGAAGGTGTAAATAACAACTTAGAATGGACTGAGAGAAGATTTAAGTTGTGCCTGAGCAGCAGAGCTCCAGGCTCTGGAAGGAGACTCCCATCTGGTGCCTTGTGGCTGTTGAGCTGTGCTGGGCAGGGCTGTGGTGTGKTTCTGTCTGCCCACAATGCTGTGGTGGTTTCCTTTCCAAATGCCATCTGTGGAGTTCTCATCACCTTGCAGGCTCATRCCCATCCTTGAGCACTTTGCTGGAGAGAGATGGGATCACTCACTGGTTTAATCCTCAGCACACATTTGACTGTCCTGATTTGGGGTCTGGAATCACTGCCTTCAAAACATTGCTGTAGAAGAATATGTGATTTGCCAGCTGCCCCAACACCTCACTCAAAAATCTGAAAGCTTTAAATGTTTAATCTGGCATTCCTAGCTTCGTAATGACTGAAAAAATACCTCTGTTTCTGTTTTTTCCTTCCTAAATGTTAGAAAAAAAGTTTCTGTTTTTGGCAGAGATTTTGTGGGTTAACTTTCAGGGCAAAATATTGGGTTTTGAGTAGGGGATTCTAATGGAAAAGCTGAGCAACAAATTCACACAAGGTTCTTCTTAATTATAGAAGCCAAAAGCTCTTCCAGATGTCTGTCAGCCCAGCATGCTAGATGCTGCCATCACTGGTTTTAATAAAAGCTCATATTSAGCAAACTTTATTACTGATTTACTGTACACTGCTTAAGCCAGAAAATGTTTTTGCTCCAAAAAGAAAACAAAGACCTGATATTTTCATCAGTTGCACTGCAGCATGTCATTTACTCTGTTAAATACCAGCCCTGTTCCATTATTTGACTTGTTTTCTGTAGCTTGCCATCATTAAAACTGGAATTTCAGAAACTCTTGTCAAGAAGTCCATAGGCAAGAAATGCACATAAATAAATCAGTAAATGGTGCGTGCAAAACAGGCAAAGCCACTAACAGCACACGTACGTGACRTGCACAACCAGACAGGCAGTTCTGTGAAAAGTTACCTGTTTGTACATGCAACTAATACATGCTCCAAAGAAAAATGAGAGCTATAAAAAACACAGGAAAAYGTTATGGAATAAGTAGAGGAAAATACGATGTGACTTTGTGAATACAAAAGTGAACAGAACAAAACCAGTAGGAAAACCATCAGGCAGAGAGTAGCTAATGAAATCTGTGAACAGTGATGTAATTAAAGTGCATTAATCATTATAAAAGATCATTTCCCTTTAAACATCTGCTCCTGTTCACTTGGCAACAGCCTGGGCTGTGTCATGAGTGATGGGGGTTTGGATTATGCTCTAGGGCGTGTGTTATCTGAGAAACAAGGTGGAACATCTGCAGCTTGTTGGGATCAGGGACAGCAGTGCTTTCCCTCAGTTCAGGTGTAATACTAGGGCAGTAAGGGGAAAAGAAATGAGAKGGTGCTTAGAGTGGAAAGGAAAATCTTGTATAAAGTGCAACTCTGCCTTCTCATCCATGCAGACAAAATTTAATTGGGTGCCAGTGGATTTGAATCAACTTAAYTCCTCTGAGAAAAAAGCCCCTTCCCACCCTGCTGCTTTTCAGAGAGCCTTAGGAGCTCGTAGCACACAGCTTGTTCCACCCCACTGAGAAGCACCACAAAAAATTCTTTCTRAGTTCTTTTCTCTGTGGGAGCCTGGCTGTGCCAGCAAGAGTGAGATGAGCCATTCCAGGAAAAAAAAGCTTTCTGGCATAAGCTGAGTGTGCAGAAGCAGAGCTGTGCCCATCCCTTACTGCCCTGCAGTCTGTGCTGGGTGAGGTCTCTGTGCAGGTACCAGTGGAGCAAAGATTCCTCCAGGGCTGTGGGGGCTGAGTGGAGCCTCTCATGAGCTGTGTTCCGAGTCAAGTGAGGACTCAGGGGTTGTTGTTTCTGCTCTGTCATTGGACTGTGTCCCCCGGGTAGGATTTTTTACACTTGGGGACTGTTTTTTGTGTCCTTGTAGACATCTGACTCCTTGTTGCATTTCCACACAGTTGGTGGAGTTGCATTTCCACTGGTTGTGGGCACAAATGGTGGCTCCTGTGCATCTGCATTTTTAGTTTWTCTGTGTTTCAGGCAGGGAGAGGGGGAGATGGTTGTGCTCTTCTTGCAGGGACACATCTGAAGGTGGAACCCTTTGAGACCCACCAGCAACAAAGATTCAGCTGCAGAGCAACACTGATTTTCATCCTGATCTTGTTTCATTAGCAAATCTGTAGCACAAAGCACTTGGGGACCAGGGGTGACACAAGTGTTGGATCCAGGATACTGAATTGCTACCATGTTGGTCATTCATAAGGTCTCCTTTATGGCACTTACTTGGGGTTTGCCAGCCTGTGGCATTCAGGCTGTGTTTGTGGTGGGAGTGCATATGCCCACGTGGATTTCCAAGGGATGCAGRCAGATCCCAGATCCCACCTGGAAAAAGGACTGGGGTTGTGGACATGTGCATGGTTAAGTCTCTTCATGCCTATTTTTGGAAGTTTGGTGAATTCACAGAGGGTTCATGATTTTTCTGCCTGGGCAGCTGTTAGGTGAGAAAGTGAAAATRAGCTCAGCTTTTGTCTTTGCTGTTCAGCTACAGGTGGAACACTTGATCTGGTTTGTGCCTGTTCATAACAATACCTGCCCTCCCTCAGAGAGACTTGCAGGCTCTGTGAAAGGAATTGGGGTGATTCAGATAAAAAGTTTGTGGTTTTTTGTTTCTTAAAGCTGGTGAAGCCATACAGTGGTATTTAAACAGAAAATCAGAACAAACCTCAGAAGCGCATAGATTGGTATTGCAGGAGCCTGAAGATCTCAGGTTTATGCATTGCTTTCTTTAGCTTGGTGATGTTTTAGGTGTGCTGTGGGTTTTTACCAGCCCGTTGCTGTCGTGTAGCCCAGCTGAGGAAGGTGCCAGCCTGGGAGCAGGGCTGTGCCAGCTGCCTTGGCAGGCTCAGTGCTGAGGAAAAGGGACAAAGGGAACCTGAGCAGGCTGCAGCCAGGTGCCTTGGATCCACTCACCACCCTGTTCCCTCTCCCCCATCTGCTCTTGTTCAGGCCCTGCTCTGTCCAGGAGCACAGTTTAATTTTTCCCTAATAGCCCTAAGGTCCGTGTGGCCATGGAAAGCCAAAAAGGGCAGAGGTTTTTGGGTTCTTTCTGTTCATCATCTGGGCTTGAATCAAAACCTGCAAGTTTAGCCTTGAAAAATTCAAATGGGTTTCCATGGCATTGTATATGTTTAAAAAGAAAGAAAGACAATTAATTGAGAAATTTAACTCCAGATTTTCTTTAGCCAGTGGGTTCTTGAGGGGTCTAGATGCTGGCATTGGTTGCACGGGGAACAAGGGAAGAACATTATGGGGGTGAAGATTTCAAGAAAATCTGCCTTGCATAAAAGGAAGGCATCAAATGTAACAGACCTTACTGTACTCACCCTGTTGCCTTTACCCAAACTTGCAAATGTAGGTGTGTCAGTCTGTGCCTTGTTATTAAAGTTGTATTTTGTACCCATCCAAAACATCCAGCATTTCCAAGGGAAGGWAGCAGCTGAGGAGGTGTGTACCTGGAGGTAGACACATGTATTGAAAATGTGGTGTGTACATGAATAGATCTRTTTATGTTGTGCATGGAGTCTGAAATAATGATTTAGTCCTCCTTTCTGCACTGTTTATGTAATGCAGAGGGTTTAAGCTTTTTTTTTAATGTTGGTCAGACATAAGGAATTACACTTTGGAGGTGCAAGTCCTAGATGCTGTTAATTTGAAATTTTTYGTTGCATCAGATAAGGCTGTTCATGTGAAAGGGACTGTCCTTGTGTCACTGCCACCTAAAGGCCAGGGCATTGTAGTTGGGTGCCTGATTTGGGTGTCCCCTGGAAAACTGATTCTGTCACCAGTACTAACTTTATTACCTTTTAAGACCAGATGCTCTTAACTGCCCTCACCTTCATTTTCAGCTTGTAATAATCTGTTCTGCAGCCTCCTGCAGACTGGACACTGGTGTGTATATTCTTGCTTTGATGGCAAATGAGATACCAGGGATTGAGTTTTTATATGGCAAAATCCAGGAAGAAAGGGAAATCATTAATCAGATGGGTGTAATCTCCAAGGAAGCAAGTACTGCATTTTAATTCAGCATTTCCCTTTGATGAAAACTTTAGTGAATGTTATTATGTGGAATTTATATGAAGCCTGGGTTTAGGTAATCAGCTTTAATATTTATACTCTTAGGGAAAAAATTTGAATCATTAGTAAGCATGCATAATTAATGAATAAATTGTATTTTTCCTTTGTTTTCCTTCAGGTATAAGGAAATGCTAGATCTAGTGATATCACCCAGCCTGACTGTAAATAGAGAGTGCCCTGACAGACTGAAGCTTAACCTTTCTCACATTTATGCCACGGCTCCAGATGACATAGAAGGTAGGCTGCTCTTCTGCTTACTGTTTGCTGGTTTTAACATAACATATATATGTATATGTATATGTAACTGAAAGGAAYTGGCCACTACAAGGCCTCTGCTTCTGGCAATTAGCTTTACAGTGTAGTGAGCAACTGAGATTTTTGAATATTTTTTTTGCAGACTCTCCAGTTGTGGTTGAATCCTTTAGTTCTGYAACAGTTTGAATGCAAATGGAATAGAAATATTTCATATGTAAATATKTATCTGTGTATATTGCACATATGCACATGTAGAGTTTTGTTCCACTGGAAAAGAAATTGCAGGTGTAAACCAGATTTTGTGTAGACCTGGTAGATTTTGCCTGGACCCACTGGAGCCCTGGTGGTGTGAACGTGAGCCCTGGGCTTTGCTGTCTGTGCTGCTGCTGCTGTTGAGGTGGGGTCTGGGGGGCTCCCAAGGCCAGAGATGAATTGAGCAGCCAAAAAAACCTCTTGCCAAAGCAGCTCTGTGCCCCAGTTTGCATCGCTCTGAGATCTCTGCTGCCACCCCCAAATGGTTTAGCCCTGCYGGCCTCTGCTCTGCAGTTTCACATTTGGCAGGTACCAGGGACGAATTCTTTCAGTGGTTGAGGCTCTGATGGAAATTTATCTGCTCTCCTCCTTTTCTCCCCCCCTGCCCCATCATACTGTTCAAGCGAAGGAAACAGAAGAATGTTAAATCTGCTAAAAAAATTATTGGCAAGTGATGCAGCTGAACTAGTTCTTGCTAGTACAATCCCAGCTATTGTTTGCTGCGGTCAGGATCTGTCAGCCTTCCTGTTAGAGGGGAGTTAGGAAAAGGCACTGGCTGTTATGTTTTAGTAGTATGTTTAACCCTTCCTTTATAGGTTCTTAGAAGCCCAGATGTTTTGTTTGCATGTTTGCTGAGGCATTAGGAATTGCGTGATTAAATCACGTACATCATGACYGCCTATTTACCAGAGCAGTAGAAGGAATAACAGTCTAAAGGAAACATCCTTTTAAGTGTTCCTGTTTGCAGAAAAGATTAGGGCTAGAAATGATTTTTAGGTACATCATTCTGTAAACATCTTGGTGCAGAAACTGTTTTTTATTATGTGAGATAAATAAAAGCCAACACAGGAGTTGTGCTGTTGGACACCAGTTTGCTTCTTATGGAAATATTATGGTGCTTTTTCTACAAAATGATCCCCTGTGCTATCAAGATTGTTCTCTTTCCCATGAAAATAGCTTTTGTTAATTTGAAGAACCGGAAAATACTTGTGTGTTTGACAATTCTGACTGACAGAGCTCTTAGTGCAATAAATGCACACAAATTTATGCTCTGTATTACACATACAGTATTAAATTTAGTAAGTYTAGTCATAGTAGTTACTAATTTAGATGTCCATGTAGCTGTCTGGCCTGTTGTTTTCATGACTGCTAGTCATGAGATGTGCAGTTATATAGATATAAATTTCAAGTGCATATTTTGCCTGTAGGATTAACTTTGCCTTTTCCTGTCAATGGCAGKAGCATATTGCATATTCACTCACAGTAAATTCCTATTTGGCATTCTTGGCAAACTTATTTACTCTGTTYCAAAATAAAAAATYTGAAGCRGTGGTRTTTTTCAAAGAGGGAAGAAATRAGGCTTATGCTCAAACTGTTCTGCTGTTTTTCAATGTAAAAGGGATTATGAATTCCAAAATGTCTATTTCTTCAATGCAATTCTGTTTGGTAATGAGGAGCAGACWGAAATGGTGCAGTTCCTGTTTCCACGGTCTAAAAATCTAATTTTCTAAACTGTTTTCTTTCAGGTAGGTCAAAGCAAATTTTTCTTAGTGTGTTTGAAGGTGAGTCAGGTAAGCTCAGTTTTGGATTTAAACCCAGTCCTTTTTCTGTGTATGTGTAAGTGAATTGGCACATTTGTATGGCATCCTTTGTCAATAATGTGCACATTTGTGTAACACTGTCTTTGTCAGAATTTTAAGCTAAATCTCTCTGCCTGTTGCTTGGGAAATAGGTTACTGTTCCACATTCTATGAGCAGAGAAACTAAGGCAGGGTTGCAGGTGGGTTTTACTTTTCTAAGTTGTTGGAGGATTGCAGGAGTGTGAGGAAGGAGTCTTCATGGTTTTATTCCTGCCAGTGGTTAGGGTGAACCTGTTAGTGATTAGGCCTGTATAGGTTTCATGGTTAATAACATAAATTAATATTCTAAAAAAAGAATAATACCGAGTAAGTAATGCTTTTAGTAAGAACTCATGACAATGCATTTTTTATTGAAATCTAGTCTAGAAAGGTATCAGATGAAATGGCAGTGTTTTTAAAAATAGTTTGGTGTAATCTCCATGTTGCAGTGTGAAATGACCAAGCCATGTAAAATGTTGTGGGAAAGGGTTGTGTGGGAAAGAACAGTTTCAAAAGAGAGCTAAATTGGGAAGAACAAACGTTTCAGATGTGAGCATGTTGGATCTTTTTGGACATTCTGTCCGTGTCCACAGCATAACAAGTTACCCAAACCCATAGGGCCACTTGCATGCATATAGACTTTATATGTACTTGCATATTCATTAAATGAGAAAATGGTTTAAATGTTTAATTCTTCAACTGACCCGTGTCTGAACAAAGGAAGCTGTGCTGTTTTGGTCACTGAAGGTGCGTGGAGAAGCCAAGTGCAATTGTCTGATGTGTTCATTGATGCAGCCAGCAGAGACAGAGGCTGAATCAGTTGTGCCTAATGTCATTATTGATGACTGTGAGACTGTTTTGGCATTTATAGTGCTGAACTAATGACAGCTCCAGCCAAGAACCARGAAGCAAAGTTTGGATGGCACTGTGGAAGCAACCTGTAAAATAGACATGGTGGTGTTTTGGTATGATGTTTTCAGTACAACTTGCAGGCAACTTGCATTTTTCTATTTAGCTTTTGGRTTATTTCTTTAGTTTTAAATTAGGTAAACCTAAATTTATCTTTGWATAAAGCTGATGGCATGTTTTTCTTTGGTAGCATTACAGGACACAACTGTTTGGTCCATTAGAAGGCATCTTGCACATGTAACTTGTATGATTGGTTTTCTACTGATTTAATTTTTTTGGTTGCTGGTAGTTCAATAAGGTAGTCTATAGTTAGCAAAAAAAATTTCAAATTAAGGAGATTTATAATGTTGTATTTTTAATATTTACTATTTTTGATATATTTTAATGGATATTAAAGAAAGTGAGTCATGGTCTAGGAGAGTACCAAAAAAAGCAAAAGAGCAAAAAATGCAATGAGCTTAAATCACTTCAGCAATCATAGTATGGCTTTTATAGCCTTCAGCATGTGACTCATTGCTTCAAAGCCCAGCTTCATGATTGATATCAGTCCCATGAGAAGAAGAAACTGGCAGTTCAATCRACTGGTTCAATCAACCTCAGTTAAAAATTAAATCTGTATTTGTTGTTAAGCGGAGAATATCTTTCTTAACCTACCTCAGTTTGGGAATATTAACTAAAAAATAAAAGGTCTTCTGATTCCTGAATATTATTCTCAAACCAGCAGTGGTAAAAACAATTGTATCAGCTTGGCCACAGAACAGAACATGAAGAAAATGTAAGACCCTTTCATTTTGTTTTCCAGGCAGCAGCAAAGCAGCACCGCAGTGTCCTCTCCATCTGTACACCACAAAGTGAGTGCTCGTGCCAAGTGCTGTAATTTAAAATCCGTGTTTTGCTGAACAGCCATTTTGTGCAGACTTCTGTCACCTTAAAAAACATCTGCCCTAAGCCCATCCACCTGTTCCCCAGCACGTCTCTGGCACAGTGAAGTAGCTGCTTCTTAATCTTCTTAGATACGGAGTGAAAGAAGGTTTGAGGTACTGTCCACTGTATTTTTGTGCCCCTGAGAATCCAAATCTTACCAGTTTGAATATCCTTGTGTTTGTCAGTGACCATGGAGAGAATGTGTTGGAATGTCACTTGTTTGGCTAACTCAAAATGAAACAGGAAAAATCTGTSTTGATTTTATTTTATTTTTTTTAAYCTGCATTTATTTTTCACTGTCCTAAAGTCCCCATGCATTTAGGTGGCTTTATCTGATAGCTCACCTCAGGAGCCACGTACTGAAACTTSTGCTTCAGCCCAGTTAATTCCAAGTTTCCAAAATACTCAGCATCATATGCTGGATGTTATTTTATCAAGGTGTCCAGAACTGTTCTACTTGTGCTCTGGAAGACCACATACAATAACTACTGCCTTAAACCCTTMTGTTTTCTTGTTCTGCACAGACATTACCCCCAGATAGTGGCAGTCCCACCCTTCCCAGCAATGGCAGCGTATGGACAGACCCAGTACAGCACAGGAATCCAGCAGGCAGCAGCATACACTGCCTATCCTCCCCCAGGACAGCCCTATGGGATACCCTCCTACAGTGAGTACTCCAGACCATGGTTCTGTGAGGGCATCGTCCTCCTCCTGCTGGCAGAATGGATTGGAAGTCTTTAAACTTTGCAGTGCAATGTCATTTGTGTCTCAGCAATGCTCTGGTCTTAGGCTCAGAGGAAAATTTGGCTTAAAAAATGCTCAGTTTACTTTGAGCTACCTATCAGCTCTTTGTATCGTGGGTTATGTYTTTACAAACCAGGTGAGTTTGGAGCCAGTCAGTTGTAGGGTATGAGAAATTCAGGTTCAGGAGGATGTGCCCAGTAGCTGGTGAGTGTTCCCATGACTCACTGKCMAGTATCTTGCAGCAAATATGGTATWTATGGAAACTTTACTTTGCCTTCCTTGATTCTTYCTGAACTCTCAATGACACAAGCTGCTTCAATAAAAGGTTTCTGTGTATTATTACAGAAGAACCAAAATGCAGAGCAGAGTAAGGCATGGRTAAAGTGTTACAGTGTACATTGGTTTTGGAAGATACTTGTGTTGAAATGCACAGTTACTAGCTGTAGGTGCAGTCAGCATTTCTAACCCAGCTCAGCTTTGTTCTCTGCTTTTCTGCACAGCTTTGCCAACAGCTGTGGGGAGACAGTGCTGGGCAGGGACAGCTGGGGATTCACACAGGGAACAATTAAACCAGCACTCCTGACAGAGGAATGCCTGCTAAACCAAGCCTTAAGTGTCCTCAAGCTCTGCATGGGAATACTGAGCTCTTGAGGGAGCTGAAAGTTCCTTCCACTCCTAAAGACCAGAGATGTTGCTCTTGTTTGGGTACAGCTCTTTAACAGGAAGCTTTGGGCTTTTTACTTCTCTGGCTGGTCCCATGAGCTGGTCTAGCACCATTTAAATGGCTTCATAGTTTTGTTTCCACTCCTGTTTTCTCTTGTGCTCATAAACACCTTTGTTTTCACTTGGCAAATACAGCATCTCTTCCCAACAAGAAGCTTTTATACAGCCACTGACAGAGCTTTTACTGAAGGGAAATTTAGTGCAGCAGGCTGGAAGGTTGGGGAAGTGGCCTTGGCAGAGCCMAAGCTCTACAAGGATGATGAGAGGAATGTTTTGAGACCCTTTCCTGGAGCTATTTGTGTGTTTGCATCAGCTGGCTGACTTCCAAGGAAAACTCTGAACAGTTGTCCTGTTAGAGCAGGTGAAAGTAGAGCCATTTGCTACTGCCTAGAGGCTTTAGGGCATGCATGTGTCAGGCCCATATGCTGCTTATAAATCCTCAGGGTGACCTCTTAGCATCCTTGAGCAGTGGTTTCCCTCCCCCAGCCCTTACACCCTCTCTGAGATACTCAACACAGCACATGAAAAACTCCACCTGGCTGACAACCAAGAACAATGAAGCAGTATTGTTTYTAGGCACAAAAAATAGAACTCGGCCAGTTTCTAGACAAAACAGAACATTATGTGGAAATTAATTTGGTGCTAAGTTATTTTGCTGTCTGACAACARTTTTTAGGCTTCCAAAGAGGCCCATTGGCTGAAGATTAATTGTTACTGGGGTGGGTTGARTGCTGGCCTGTGGAGTGCTGATGAATTGGAAAGCACAGGRTGCTGGGAYGAGGGGCTTCTCTGCACASATTTCTCTTCCCCAGCAGTGATGGGGACACATGCTTGCACCAGCACTTGTCCCCTCGCTGTCCAAATAATCCTCCAGCCTTTCACAGTCACCTTGTTACRAGCTTGTGCTCAAACTGCATCACAGTTCTTCTCACCTAAAGCTGAAATAAGTGGTTTTTGTTAGCGAAAGCATTATCTGGGAGAACTTAATCCAAACCTGAGCAAGCACAGGCTTGTTCCTTCTAAGACTGGTTCAGCTCGAAAGYAGCATGTTTGGGGAAAGGCAACCCGAATTCAGCTTTTGGCAAGTCTGCCTACAAGTGCTAAAAGACAGCAACAGTCTGGAAAGTTCATAAATCCGAGGTTTAATCATCAGCAGGGTCTTTGTTTAGTCCCAGCRCTTGGGGAGTGTCCAATGGCCATTTTTTGTTGTGCAAATAGGATGCAAAGGAGGGGAGGATCACACCCAAAGGGTTCATAATAAGACGCACCTTTGAGCTGTTTATTTTAATAATACAGCTGTGCAATCTCAGCAGCATCTCAGAATAAAATATTAGCCCCTTTCATTACCAGCAAGGGTTTCATCTTGCAATGTTTAATTCAGGTATTGCCGTTCCCCCTGTAAATTGTCAGTTTAATTGCCTGGGTTTAGAAATGAGAAGATTTCTTGTGGCTTCAGGGCTTACCTGTTGTTCCTGAACTGTGTGTTRTATCTGAGTAGATGATAACCCTCCTGTAGGACTTGCCAATAAATGTTTTGATACCAAAGCTGAAAATATAATGCGRGTACAAAAGAACTCTTTTGAGAACAGAAATCTAGAAGGTTGTTTGGCTGAAGGTCCTGTTCCATTGTTAATCATTGCTTGCATCTGATAACTCTTCAGAAAGTTTATGAGTCAGTGAGTTTCTCAATTCTGTAACAAAACTGTATGTTCAGAGATTGGTTTTGAGGACAATGTTATTAATAGGTGTTTAAAAAGTGCATTTGGGTGTGGATAMAGGATGTAGCTGACTTGAGTACAATTTGTGATGTATTTGTTTGACTGTTAAGAGATCTSTTTGAGTAATGCAAATAACTATTTTTTTGTAATATATATTTGTGTATGTGTGTGTAAAAGTGTAGAAAAAAAGAGTTTATTAGCTTAAAATCCAGCTGAAAAATCGTTAATTCCTACACTTGYTTTTTTACATCTTTATAAGACAAGCACTCACGTTGTGCTCTTGTTCCCTCTGTGTCCCCAAAGGCATCAAAACCGAGGACAGCCTGAGCCACTCTCCAGGACAGAGTGGATTTCTCAGCTATGGCTCCAGTTTCAGCACCCCGGCAGCGGGACAGGCGCCCTACACGTACCAAATGCACGGTGAGTGCAGCTCAGAGCCTGCCAGGCTCTGCTCTGGGCTCCAGAATCCCAAATGCACGGTGAGTGCAGCTCAGAGCCTGCCAGGCTCTGCTCTGGGCTCCACAATCCCAACCCCACGCTGGAGCAATTGTCCTCCTGCAGTTGCTGTGGAAAGCTTTTAGGGACAGGCAGTCAGCATGGGGGAAGGAGGTGAGACTCTGCTTGATCTGTTTTGCTCATCAAGGCACTGATTTCTGGCTGAGGGACTGGATTTCACAGTGTTATGTCCTAGCAGAATTTCACCTATGATCAATATAAGCTTTGTCTTTCTGCAGAAACGGTGTTTTTTTTTTTTATGATCAATATAAGCTTTGTCTTTCTGCAGAAATGGTGTTTTCTTTTTTTTTTTTTTTTAATTAGTTCTGTGGCTGCATAGCTGGGATTGTTGTGTTAGTGTGAATTCCTGCATTCTGGATGTAAGCAAAACAAAGGTGGTTTTACACTTCATGCAAACAGTCCTCTCAATATTATGCTTTTCTCTACCTTATGCTGACCTGAACAAACTGCTCTGTGCTTGAACTGCTGTGTATTCTCCCTACTGTTTCTTTTTAAAAGCTGATAGTTTGATGCTAAAAAAAAAAAAATGAGAGTGACTCTGCTTGAGAGGAGACAAATGCACATGAGGATAAAGCTCTTCCTTGGCTTCATCCTCCCCTCTGAAATTTTCAAGGGGTTGGAAAACCAAAGAGCAATTGCATGTCCTTCCCAAACTCTTGTAGAAGCTGTGGAAGGGCAGACATTAAGTCTGTCACTTTACTTTTGGTATTGTTGAGGGTTTTATGCAAAATGCCCCTTTGTGCCATTATGCTAAACCGACCCCATTGCAAAATTACCTTTGTCAATTCTCTTAATTCTTCTCCATCCTGAAAGTGAAAGGTGGGCATAACATCCGCTTTTAAGTCTGAAAGCARCTAAAATCCTAAACAGCTATGAAAACAGACAAAACAAGGTAAAATTCATTTTATTCCAGAAATTGCCTAAGAAAGCTGAAGACTGGGAGTTAATCCTTGGCTCAGACTTCACCTGCTAGTTTYGTCAGAGCACATTATTGCTAACACYGAGGTGGATTTTGGGGCTTGAATACCTCATAGTCCATGCTAGAGACAGCTGGGCTGGATGTGGCACAAAAAAATTTAAAATGTAGCCCGTGGATTTGGTTTTTTTTGTCACCTCGACTGGTACAGGTTTCACCTGTTTCACTTCCACATGTGCTCTCTGTTGGCTGGCTGAGCTGTTTGAGAGGGCAGACTCTTGACTTTCTTAGGACTAAAGTTTTTTAGGTGGCCCCTTTGTTCAGTTAAGAGGTTTAGACAAGCAAATTCTGTTCATCAGCACTTGAAAACGTTCCTTCAAGCAGCAGTGACACAGCCCTGAGCTGTACAGGCTGAGGAGAACTCTGTGTATGAGCATGACTGGGTCATGCTGTTGGGTGAAATCACTTCTTTTCAAATATTTATTACAGGAAGATCATTTCAGCTAGCTCACTAAGCCTTTAGTGCAAAAGGAAACGGGAAAACAGTTTGTGCAAGTGGCAGGTGCTCACTCCAAGGCACAGGGGGCAGGAATAAATGTGTCTTCCTGTAAACAAATATTTCCACTCTTCTCCTCGCCTGTGAGAGGAACAGTCCGAAGCTCCCGGACTGTGTGGTTTATTTACCTTGCTGAGTGCTAGTGAAAGGTTTGAGTGAGGAGTCAGGAGCCTTCCTGTGCTGAGTGCTACCGAGGAATGTGGGCTCAGGGCTTTCCCACACCACAGTGTTTGGGGGTGGGGAGGTGAGCACTCCTRTATGTGAGCAGGCAGCTCTTTGTGCCACCAGCTCTGGGTGAGACCACTGAAAAGGGCAAACTTTTATTGATAYATTTTTATTTTAAAAGTTCAGGGAGACTTTAAGAGTCAAGCTCCTAATCCCCAGTTCAAGGACAAAATCTATTTTGCATCATGTGAGAAGAGAGATCATGAAGAGGGTGATGGTCAGGGGATCGGCAAGGAAAGGTATCTCCAGCTGCTGCTCAGTTTTGTATTATAAAAGAGAAAAAAACTTTTTTAAAGCTTCTCTGGAAGTATTGTAAGGTGGCATTAGCTCAGTTATTTAAGTGAAGTAGGTTTGTGGTGTTTGCTGAGGAACAGGGAAATGCAGTGAACTCACTGCAGGTGGGGTTGGGCACTGAGATTGTTCAGCCCTCGTGATTCCTCCTCACTGTCCCCTCAGACAGGAGTTACAGCAGCAAATAAGAGCCCACTGTAGCTGTCACACCCCTCACCAAGGAATGGGTGACCTCTTGGGTGACAGATGTGTCTCACAGGGCTCCAGGTCAGTGCTGCCCTACAGTAAGTGCCAGGTTGGTACCAGTTTGTTCCCTGTGGTGTTTGTTTGGCACCAGCACAGGCTGCCTGGGCTGTGATCAGTGAATGGTGCTTTTGAAGCCAAATTCTTCTCTCTGTTAGGGTTTGTCTGCAGTACAAACACAGGTGATGCAGGTGTGAAGGGGTAGCATTCAGCTTTTCATCTTCAGCTATCAGCTGTGTCCTGGTTCTTGAGTGAGAATAGGATCACTAAAAAGCAAGAATGAAGATACAACATCCTTTTGGTCAGTAAGTGGTAAAGAAAAAGTGATTTTACAGCCAGCCAGAAGGGGAAATCTATTTTCATGCTTCCCTAGCATGAAAAGAAATTGATTGTGGAAGAGTTTATAAGCCAAATAGCTAATGCAATGTGTCACACACATATATAAATGCAGAAAATGAGATTAGCAAGTTCCGTAACTCATAAAAATGACACAAAACTATATTGCAAAGGCATTGTGGATTGAAATAAAGATTCTAATTGCCATGTAACAATGGATATAACAGTATATAATCAGGCTTCAAATAACATTCAGACTGAAATCTGGTATTCACATATTTGCTCAGAAGGAGTAACTTTTTTTCTCTCTTTYTTTTTAACCAGTGCTGTGTACAGTGTTGTTCCATATCATTATTGCATTTACAGAATTATTTGTTTCATAATGAAGGTATTTGAAATATGCATGTGGCCAGTCTGGGGATGGCACTCACTTTTAGACTCATGAATCTGGAGAGGAGGTAACAGCTCCGAGTAGATTTTTGCCTTTTGAGTGGTAGATTTGTCATGCTGAGAAAGAAATGTTTCTTCAAGGTCTATTTCATTTCTTAATCAATCCTCATGTAAGTGTTCAATTACAGCACCAAACCACCAAACACCCTGGGCTTGGTATTAGAAATACATTTTGCTTTTTTACACACATTTTTCTAAGTTTTCGTTTTCTGACAATTTTAGCAGTTCCGTGATTTCAGCTCAGACTTTTGGTAAAATTATTATTCAGTGATAGAAACTGAACTTGAGACACAAAKATTTACCTTCCAGTTCTGCCCCTAAAAACTTACTGTCTTAGCTGGCAGTTGAGGAAACTGCTTGCTGCTGARAGTGGGGGAGAATATGAGAAATGGAATATAAGAAACTTAACATTTCGTAGCTATGTAAAATACAAAGAGAAAATTGTGCCAGCACATTAACTAACCCAGAAACCCATCAGCTCTGCAGAGAGTGCAGTAACAGCCAGCTCACAGAGCATTTCCTGTGGCTGCAAGAGCATGTGCTACCCCTTGATTGCACATTAGGCCATCACTTCTCAGCTTGTCGTTAATTCCTAGACAATGCCTTGCTCTTCAGCTGTAATTGCTAAAATGACAGCTGGTATGAAACTATGAAGTTGCACAACAGCTAAAACTGTGGCCAAAGACCTCTGTGGATGCTGTTGTTGGGCAGGAAAAGATTTGACTGSTTTTTTGGGGTTTTTTAATATCCAAATCTATCTACCCACAAAATACTTTTTACATTACAAAGGAAAATTCAGTTATGTAACTGGGATAACTTTCCTGTGCCAAGGAATTGCAAAGTAGTACTGAGCTTGGGACAGACATAAATTTGGGACCAAAGACCTATGCAGTGAAATTCTTTGCTACTGCTGAACATTTGTTTTCTTTGTAGAGCTCTTCTGATGAGCTGTTAAATAGTGAACAAATAGAAACCAGCATTTCTTTTGTACAACAATGATTTTAAATAATTATATATATATTGCTTATGTTTGGGGAATGATTTGGTTATGAATTGTTCTTCTGGCCTGCGAACAAGTAAAATCTGAACAATTAATCAATTAAAATGTTTTGTCGTGCTGGAAACATTTGGACCCTTGTTAATATCTGGATAGTCTACATGATTTTTTTTCCAAGAGGTGGCAGAATTTCTTGCAATTGTGTGCAAATTTGTGTGTTAAAAATTTCATACGAGGTCATAAATACCAGTTTGACATGAACAGTTGCTTCTGCCTGCATGATTTTTTCAAGGGAAGTCCATGTTTAGTTTTAAGGGTGATTCCTCTGAGTACTTGGTGATGAAAATAGTGATGAAATTTCAGTCTACACCTGAGAAACATGGATCACACTTCAGTGTACAGATAGTGAATCCGTGTGAAGTCCCAGAAAATAAAGGAAAGTGAGAGCATGTTCTCARCAAACTTGTCACTCAGATGCCTTAGATTGATAAAATTAAAACCTCGGTGGAAAAGGAGCAGCCTCTTTGAAAAGCTGCAGCTTCCCAGCTGGTTTGCATTAATTGCAGTCTCAAAGCGTGGCAGTAAAGTTGTGCTCCACTCTGTGGTGGGTTCAGCAGGGAGAGGCCTCTCTTCAGGAGGGGTCAGMCCTCACTTTTAGCAGTGTAAATACAAGGTTCCTCAGAATAACAGCACAGTCTCCCTTTCAAAGATTTTTAAACACCAGGGGCTGACTGTGCTCCATTTACTTTGTTTTAAAAYGAGCTGATTTCTCGGAGAGGGAAGTCCATGGGAGAGGCTGAGGTGTTGACAGCGATGCWCTGGGGGCTGCAAGGAGGGATCTGTGCTGCTGCTGCCCAAAGGGAAAACTCTGCTCTAACTCTCCCCATTTA